AATAATAGCACATTTTTTGCAGGTAACAAACGTACATTTATTTGTTTTCCTTAGAAGCCTGTTAAGCATTGCCCATACCTCCCATACAGGCAGTTACTGCAGTCCAGGAAGATCAATGAGCTACAAGATCGCTCACCTGTCCCCACAGTTCATTGAGAACTACAAGCTCTGACACGGAACACTGCCCCACATGCCCGCACTGTTTTTGAATTGTGACATCGGGTGCAGGGAGAGGATTCCCTGCCTGCTGTCACAATGGGGGATCGAGTTGGGGTGTGAACAGGTGCTTTAGTAACAGGTTTCATATTAACCTCTTGCCGACCGCGCATAGCCGAATGACGGCTTCACCGCGGCCGGCCAGTTCTGAGTGGACGTCATATGACGTCCTCCCAGAACGCGCTCTCCTGCGCGCCCCAGGGGGCGCGCACCCGGCGATCTCCGTGATCGCTGTGTCCTACGGACACAGCTGATCACGTGATGTGGTGAAAGGCCGATCCCACCGGCCTTTTACCACGTGATCAGCGGTGTCCAATGACACGCTGATCACAGGGAAATGCAAGTGCCGGTTCTCGGCTGCACTTTCCTCACGCTGTCAGATCGTGAGGAAAGTACTGCCGAGAACCGGCAGTTGTCAGAGCGGGGGATCGGCACCGATCATCAGGGCACTGATGATCAGTGCCCTGATGATCGGTGCCCAGCAGTGACACCCGCAAGTTCCGCCCAGCAGTGCGCCCACTAGCCCCGCCCACCCGTTCCCAGCAGTGCCCCCACCTGTGCCCAGCAGTGCCCCCACCTGTGCCCAGCAGTGCCCCCACCTGTGCCACCTACCTGTGCCCAGAAGTGCCACCCACCTGTGCCCACCACCTGTGTGCCCACCAGTGCCACCCACCTGTGCCCACCACCAGTGCCACCCACCTGTGCCCACCCACCAGTGCTGCCCACCAGTGCCACCAGTTCAGCCCAGCAGTGCTGCCAGTCAGTGCCCAGGGGTTGTGCCAGTCAGTGCCGCCAGTCAGTGCCCAGAAGTGATGCCAGTCAGTGCCGTCTATCAGTACCCATCGTCAGTGTCACCTATCAGTGCCGCCTATCAGTGCTGTCTATCAGTGCCGCCTATCCGTGACCCCTAATTAGTGTGTCTATCAGTGCCGCCTATCAGTGCCCCTCATTAGTACTGCCTATCAGTGCCCTTTATCTGCCTATCAGTGCCCATCAGTGCCCCTATCAGTGCCGCCTCATCAACGCAAATCAGTGAAGGAGAAAAAATACCTGTTTGAAAAATTTTATAAAAGAAACAAATAAACTTTTTTTTTTTTTCAAATTTTTTGCACTTTTTTTAATTTATAGCGCAAAAAGTAAAGCGCCCAGTGGCAATTAAATACCACCAAAAGAGAGCTCTATTTGTGAGAAAAAAATTATCAAAATTTCATATGGGTACAATGTTGCATGACCGCGCAATTGTCAATCAAAGTGCGGCAGCGCTGAAAGCTGAAAATTGGCCTGGTAAGGAAGGGGGTATAAGTGCCTGGTAGGCAAGTGGTTAAACCCTAAACTAAAAATTTTATATATTGCAGCTTTTTTTTACCATCTGTTTTCACCTGGTGATCTGTCCATTAACATACCTCCTGTATTATAGTGCCTTTTGAACAAAGGGGTATGGAGGCACATGTGGACAGCAGTATTGTCATCCTGGGGTGGGGAAGTGTTGGATGTACTAGCAGATTTAGATACACTATCAAATCAAAGCAAAATTCCAAATAACACTTTATAAGTAGTTGCAGCAAGTTTTTTTTCCCCTTTGGGATAAAGGGTTTACATAAATAAAAACTGATCATTGTAAGCACCCCTGCCAGTGGTAAATGGGTTGTCTCATCCCTGTAACTGCTATATCTGCAAGCAAACTTGTTCTTTTTTTTTTTTACTTTTTTTTTTTCAAAGAAGAACAGACTTAGCTGATTACCAGATGAAAATAAAGGAAAGACAGCCTAAAAAAATAAAAAAATGCAGCCATCACATTTAAGAATGGGTAATTTGCAATAAATGTTTGCTTTAGTGTTTAATACTGCTGTTACTGTTGAGTTCTCTACTCCAGTTCACTATAGTCTGGGCAACTGAAAGTGACAAAGGCCTCAAAACAGTCTCTAAATGCCTATCAAATGAATCCTTAAACAGTCTATTTCTGGATTTCTCTTCCATAGGGTACAAAGCAGCAAACAAGTCTGCAAAGTCTGAAAAACCTCTTGCTGTTGAGCCAATCTTCATATAGAACCCAATCAAGCTGATCAAAATAGGGAAAGGCTTTCTAGATATTGCCTTCTTTTTTGTGCCTAACTGAACATGTAGATGCTTTGCAGAATTTGGTGTATCTGGCCATAGACTAGTATGCACTGCTTCAATCAATCCAGAGTCCAACAAAGCTGAAGGATTAATATGATAAAATTTTGGTGGTTAAAAATCTTTAGTAGCAACAGCTAAAATGTCAGAGCCCTTAAGAGGCAGAAGAGTATTTATAGCTGGTGGCACTTGCAATTTCCAGAAGTGGAGATAGCTTTTCGAACTCATAGTGGCAGAGAATTCTGCTTTAGTCAGGGGCTGCAGTGGTGTCAGTGCAAGACCTTGCTCCAAAACATAGTGACAGCTATCAACCCAAGAGCATGCACCGGAATTCCATTATGTTTCCACTCCGAAACGCCTTTAATCACCATTGCCAAGTGAAGTTATTTCCCTGTTCAGGGTGCTCACAGAATAGATGTGGATTGAGGAGGTTCAAAATGACCGGTATGAAGGAATCACAATAATCCATGAGCTAATCAAGTTCCTGTGGCTGTGTCTCTGAAGTATTAAGCACCAGGTGAGACAGCAAACAATTAGCATGCACAGTCGGGAAAATGGCAGCCAGAAGTGCGCAGTTAGGAGTCTAATAATCACTAGCCAGAGAGAAACTTCCAGTGGTGAAGTGGGAAAAAAAAAAGACAGCTAAATTTAAAAATAAGTAAAGGCAATAATAACAAAAGCAAATAATGTAATGTGTACTACAGATCAAAGTAATGATCCGACCAGATTTGTATAGCCAAGAACAGCTATGTAAGGTAGGTACAGGTACATCATACCTAGTCTAGGCTCTGCCCATCCTAGTGGCCATACCATCTTCACAACCTGGCTGCCATAAGATGAGACTATGATCTTGGACCTATATAACACCCTGTGTCTAACTACATTCATTGCACCGCATGCCAAGATGAGAGCTAATGCAGGATCTAGTGTCAAAGCAAACACAATAGGCTGGCTCTGTTTCCACAGGGTCCAGGTACGATTCCCAAAGTATACACCAAGGATAACCAATCTGGAAACTACTAGTGAGCCAACAGGCAATAAGCAGTCAAGATTATGATAGAAGTGTCAACTGAAGGAGGAAAAGAAAGGGGATGAAAAATGGACCATTCCTCCTGTTAGAAAAGATTTTTTTCTCTCACTTAAGACACTAGCAAAAAAGTGAAACCTCACAGAGTGGGTGGGGTTACATGGATACACTTGGGGTGATCCCAGCAAAGGTTTTGCCACTGTCCATTCATCTGTAAGTAGCAGCATATAACCCATGGCCTAAGAATCAAATTCCAGTGTCCTGTACACAATCGTGTACAGAATAATGTAATTTGGGCTAGTTATGTGTGGGCCTCTTAAAGCATACCAGGCAATTCAAGAATGAATTTCTACTATATATTCTATGACAACCACATTTTTTTTGCCACTGTTTAAAAACTCAACTCCAGGATTCCTTCCAGTCTTGCAAAGGTGTGCAGGCTTTTCTCCTGTATTGAAATTGCTTACTATGATTTCACTACACCCACTGAGCTTCTCACAGTGTATGATGTTATAAGTTGCAAGTCAAATAGACCATGCCTCATTTCCTGGTTAAAGGACATCCAGCATTTAGTCCTTCCTTCACTAGCCTTACTGTCCCTGACTTGCCCGTTTATTTATTTCATTTCAGTTCTTTCAATTATGGAGACACTGCATCACATGTGGGCATTGTCAGAGCTTCCAGTTTTCCTACTCTTCTGTACTGAAATGGCTTACTTTGATTTTACTGTACACAGTGAGCATTAGAAGCTGTCCTTTCCTCCCTAGCCTGACTGTCCCTGGCCCACCCCTTTCATTTGCTTGATTTCAGTTCTTCTAATCGTGGCGGCTCAACATTCCATGAGGGCGTTACCTAGGGCAATCTACATGGAAATGAAAGTGAACATAATAGCGCTGGAGCTCTAAGGTTATCTTTAGCGCCAAACTACTTCTAAAAAGGTCCACTAATGACTTTGAGTGATTCTAAAAGAAAGACTTAAATAAATGAAACCAAACATGTTATACTTACCCACTCTCTGCAATGGTTTTGTATACAGCAGCCTTGGTCCTCTACCCTTTGAGTCCCCGCCAATGGTCCTGGCTCCTCCCCCCTGCTGAGTGCCCCCAATAACAAGCCTCTTGCTATGGGGGTACCTGAGCAGGCTCGCTCCCGAGACACACATGACTGCGGCTCTGCCCTACCCCCTGCTATCTCTCAATTGGCTCACTGGCTGTGATTGAAAGCAGCAGGAGCCAATAACTCTTGCTGCTGTGTGAGCCAATGGAGGAGAGAGAGACCCCAGAGGGCCACTGCTCCCATGCACATTGCTGAATCTAGATGGTTCTGAGGTATCTATAAGCCAGGGTTTCTGGGGGGGGGGGGGGGGGGGGGGGGGAGTGGATGCTGCACCCAGAAGGTTGTTTTACCTTCATGCACAGAATGCATGAAGGTAAAAAAACAACCAAACCTCACATGCTCTTTTCTGAAATTTCCAGGACTGAAGCACAATCAAATAACATGGGTTTTATCAAATTTGATTGCAAATGTACTTTAACACTGTATCCTTGCCTACAGTAAAACTCTGGCAATCAGACTGTCAATGCCAGTATGTTTTTCACTGTATACTTTTTCACTTTCATATAGGAGAGCTTTTAAATGCTCTATTTTCCAGTGGCAGACTACAGCACCTCACCTCTCTATACGTTGCTACAGAACGGCTTGCTGGACGATCTGTTGCACATATATTTACAGAGGTCTGAGATAGTCCATTCTGTTCTCTTTCAGGAGTCTCTGTTTCAGGCCAGGTGCCCATGTTCTCCCCTTCTGGGGAACGATTCTTCTGTGGTGATGCGAAGGGGTTGTAGTCGCCACTTACACTGCGATGAGGGCTGAGTGTTGAACTCCGTGTCAAAGGAAGAGAGCTGCTGAGTTACACCCAAGAGGCCACCAGCTTCCACGCTCAGAATAACCCAGATGACATCTGAAAGGAATACAAAAGATGGGAAAGTCTAAAAGAAGTCCAAAATAACTCATTCATAAGCTAGTAAAAAAATAAATGTAGCAGCCTTCATGGTAATCTATTTTAGGAAGCTCCTAATTTTATATCAGAAAGCCACACTTACAACCTGGACTGACAGGACGCAGGATGAGTAGCAAAGTTTAGAAATTGCAAAAGTAATGTCAGTTTCGGCTCTTCAAAGTGAAACTCTAACAAAAACAAAAATTTAAATTGATGCCTGTTCCCAATAAATATCACCTACAACATTTTTAATTTCAGGTAGTGTTTTGCTTTAAGGTGTGTTGGAATGAATAGGATAAAGAAAACATGAAGAAAATATTTCTCACCTCCAAAATACAAGCCAGTAGCAGTACACATTCTCCACTGACCCTGGTACATGCCAGGCTGATTAGGGCTGCACATTGGCACACTGACATCTGTCATTTCCTGTGTGTCTAAAGAACGGACCAACACCATATTCACATGGCCAAACTGATCACCTCCCACATACCGCAGACATACACCTGGCGGCCATGCTTCAGATCCTAGGAGGGAAAAAAAAAAAAAAAAAGAAAAAAAACTTAAAGCCAAATTCTAAGCAGATATAGAATTAATTATGAATAAGCCATCAAAATTTATTTATTTATTTATTTTTTTTAAACACAATTAGTGCAAGTACCTGAATTTGACCCAATATCAGCCTCTTGCAGACCCTATATTGAGGACAAAACAGTACAAAGAGCCATTCCAATTATATGCCAACAAGAAGAAAAAAAGTACTGCGGGGGAAATCTCTGAACTGAAGTTGAAAATTGGTTTTACTTTTAAACGGGCTATTCATTTTTATTTTTTTTGTCTGGACTTCTGTTATTATTTTGTAATTGTACACAAGTCAGCAAAAAAATCTCCCTCACTAGGTTTCAAACACTGCCCAATATGGAAACAGAATAACAAACTTGGACTAGATAAATACTCAAACGCTTGAGCTCATTCCAGGTACTAAAAAAATGAAAATAGAAGAAGGGGAAGACAGTGTGGCCCATCGAGGCTCATCCTGATATTAATTGGATCGCATGGGATGTTATTGACGTGGTGAAAATTTCACGTCAATAGCATCTTTAGAAATATATTTACTAAGAAAAATAATGGTGTGTATGCACACACACGCCACCATTTTTTTTTAGTAAATATATTTCTAAAGGTGCTATTGACGTGAAATTTTCACCACGTCGGTAACATCCCATGCAATCCATACATGCAATGAAAGCAAAACAAAAGTTCAGAAATTAAGTTAAGTGTAAAAAAAATGGAGTGGCACAAGGAAAAAGTATTGAGCAAATTAAGAAAGCCAAGACACCAGCTGAAATCTATCAGTAATTAGAAAGCAATCCTGCCCCTTGTCAGTACAAATTAATATCAGCTTGTTCAGTCTCAATTGATGGCCACTGAAGGTGTCAAACAAAAAGCAAAGAGAGTTCTCTCAATACGTTTGCAACCTTATTGTTTCAAAACATGCTGATGGCATTGGTTACAGGATTAAACTTCTGAATGTTCCAGTGAGCACTGTTAGGGCCATAATTCTAAAGTGGAAAAAACATCATTTCACCATAATCCGGAGATGACCAGGCGCTCCTCGCAAGATTTGACAGAGTTAGTGAAAAGAGTTGTCAGAAACGTTGTCCAAGAGCCAAAGGACTACTTGTGGAAAGCTTCAGAAAGACCTGGAATTAGCAGGTACAATTGTTTCAAAGACAACAATAAGTAATGCACTCATCCGCCATGGTCTGTACTCACGCTCACCATACAAGACTCCTTTGCTGAAGAAAAAGCATGTTGAATCTCGTTTAAAGCGGAGGTCCAGTTGGAATTAAAAAAAAACCAAAGTCAGCAGCTAGAAAAACTGTAGCTGCTGACTTTTAAAAAAAAAAAACAGACACTCACCTGTCCCTCGATCCCACGGTGTCCTCACACCAGCTGGGTCGACCGACCAAACCATCCCGTCTCCTCGGCGACGGCATCTTCAGAGTGGGCACCCGGCAGTGACAGTTTGCGGCTTCACAGCCGGGTGCCCACTGCGCATGCACGAGTAGCAATGCACTTTGTGAATGGTCCCATATTCTTATGGAATCTGTCATGTGTCATGGGGGTATGAGGAAGTGGGAGTGGGTACCTGTCAAATTTGGGTGCCCCCACTCCCCAAAGGTGTCAATCCTTAATGGGGACCAGGGAACGAAGCCCTAAAGTGGAACTTCTCCTTTTGGGTGGAGCTCTGTTCAACGTTTGCAGCACAACATATAGACAAGCCTGTGAAATCCTGGGAGAATATGGTCTGGTCAGAAGAGTCCAAAATTGAACTCTTTGTATGCCATAATACACAACATGTTTGGATCAAATGGCACACCATCTCAAAAACACTATACAAACAGTGAAGTTTGGAGGTGGGAACATCATGGTGTGGAGCGGTTTTTCAGCATACGGTACAGGCAAACATCAGATGATTAAAGGAAGGATGAATAGAAAAATGTACCAAGCCATTCTTAATAAAAATCTGCTGCCATCTAGGATGAAGATGAAACGAGGGTTGGCATTTCAGCAAGGCAATGATCCCAAACACAAAGTCAAGGAAAGTCTCAATTGGTTTCAAGGAAAGAAAATAAAGCTGCTAGAATGGCCCAGCCAATCACTTGACTTAAAATCTATGGAAAGAACTAAAGATTAGAGATCATAGAAGAGGCCCACGGAACCTTTTAGATTTGAAGTCTGTGTTGAAGAATGGGCCAAAAATCACACCTGAGCAATGCATGTGGCTAGTTTCTCCATAGAGAAGGTGTTTTTCCCTTTGTCATTCCATTTTATAACACATAAAACTTAATTTCTGAACTTATTTGTTTTGGTTTCTTTGTATGTATGGATTGCATGGGTTGTTACCAATCTGTGGTTTGATGTCAATAGCACCTTTAGAAATATATTTGAGAAAAATGGTGACCTTTCAATACTTATTTTACCCGCTGTATAATGACAGATCTACAGGAAACCTGCATGACACCGGTCCAATGCTTTACAGGCTACAGCAAATAAAAAACATTTTTTTTTACCTGCATTTATTATTTTTTACTAAAAGGTGAACTTATGCTTTAAGTATTTAGACCCTTTACCCAATACTTTGTTGAAGCAGCTTTGGCAGCAATTACAGCCTGGAGTCTATTTGGGTATGACGCGACAAGCGTTGCACACTGGATTGGGGGATTTTCAGCCATTCTTCTTTCTTTGCAAATCCTCTCAAGATCAGTCAGGTTGGATGGGGACTGTAGAGGACAGCCATTTTCAGATCTCTCCAGAGAGGTTCATTAGGGTATGAGTCAGGGCCCTGGCTGAGCCATTCCAAGAGTTGTCCCTAAGCCACTCCTGTGTTGTCTTGCCTGTGTGATTGTCATCATATTGGAAGGTGAAACTTTGGCTCAGTCTGAAGTCCTGAGCACAGTGGAACAGGTTTTCATTGAGGATATCACTGTACTTAGCTCCATTCAGCTTTCCCTCAACCATGACTACATTCCTAGTCCCAGCTGCTGAGAAGGAAAAAAAAAACAAAAAAAAAACAAAAAAAAAAAACAAAAAAACAACCCTCCTAAAAGCATGATGCTGCCACCACCATGCTTCACTGTTGGAATGGTATTGGGCACGCGATGAGCAGTGCTTGGATCCTTCATAATGTTTAGAATTGAGGTCAAACAGTTCAATCTCGGTTTCATCAGACCAGAGAATTTTGTTCCTCACAGTTGGAGAGTCCTTCGGGTGCTTTTTTGCAAACTCCAAGCGGGCTTTCATCTGTTCATGTGAGGAGAGGCTTTCTGCTAGCTACTCTGCCATAAAGTTCAGATCGGTGGAGGGCTGTAGTGATGGTTGTTCTTTTGGAACTTTGTCCCATCTCCACACAGGATCTTTGGAGCTCAGTCAGAGTGACCATCAGGTTCTTGGTCACCTCTCTTAACAAGGCTCTTCTCTCCTGATTGCTCAGTTTGGCCGGGTGACCAGCTCTTGGAAGAGTCCTGATTGTGCCAAACTTCTTCCATTTAAGAATTATATAGGCACTATGCTCTTGGGAACCTTCAGTGCAGCAGAATTTTTTGTAGCCTTCTCTAGATCTGTGCTTTGCAATTATCCTGTATCTAAGCTCTGCAGGAAGTTCCTTTGACCTCATGGCTTTTGTTTTGATACAGTATGCATTATCAGCTGTAAGGCCTTTAATAGAGGTGTGTGCCTTTCCAAATCATGTCCAACCAATTTAATCTACCACACGTGGACTCTAATCAAGGTTTAAAAACATCTCAGCAACAATCAAGAGAAAATGGGTGGCACCTGAGCTACATTTCAAGTGTTGATGCAAAGGCTCTGAATACTTATTCCAAATGTGATACTTCTGTTTTTTTCTTTTTCATAAATTTGCAAACATTTCTAAAATTCTATTTCCACTTTGTCATTATGGGGTATTGAGTGCAGATTAATGAAAAAAAATGCATGTAAACAACTCTGCAAAGCTGCAACATAATTGAAAAAAGTGAAAGGGGTCTGAATACTTTATGAATGCACTATATATATTCTATCTATCTCTATCTATCTCTATCTATCTATATAGTGCATTCATAAAGTATTCAGACCCCTTTGACTTTTTTCATATATAAAAAAAAAAAATGTACTATGCCTATATCCTAATATATTGATGCAATATATGATAAAAGGGTATATATAAACATTTTTAATAAGTCCTTACATTAAAAGACAACTTTAGTAAAAGTTCTGCACACCTAGAATAAAACTTATCTTCCTCTCTGACCCATTGGTCTTTTCATCAACATGACCCTTACCAGCATCTCTTCATACTGTGCCTCAGCCAAATTTATTCCTTATGGGTAGCTGTACTCATTGCGGCCTCCACCAGCCCGTTGAAGTACAGCTTACCTACAGGAATTAAAGGGACTGTGGTATGCATATGAGGTGTTAAAAGGAGCCAGATGAGACCATATTGGAGGCAAGATCACTGAATTAGGAAGGAAGCCAAGAATTATCCCAGCTGGGCTGTACTCAGGGAGGTGTGGGGGAATTATTAAAAAACAACTTCACCATCTTCTAAGCTTAATATTACGGAAACTTGTTTATTCAAGTCAAAATCAACAACACAAACCAAGAGCTACTGTGGTGGTGTTGCTGTTGAAAAACAAAAAAACAAAAACCCATGAAACACATGAAAACTAATACAACGCTGTCACACAGTGAACACAGTAAGCAAAAAGGAAATGTCTACTCAGGTGAACTCTTTCAACTCATACAGTCATTACTGCAGTTATCCCCATATTGGCACATCTGTTCTATATAATGAAGATGAGATGAAATTAAATGAATAATCCATAATCCTAACATACAGGTGCATCTCAATAAGATAAAACAAAAAAAAAAACAAAAAAAAAAAACACACCACTTAATTTCAGTAATTCAATGCAAAAAGTGAAACTTATATTATGTAGATTCATTACACACAAAAGTAATATAATTTAAGCATTTCTCTTTTTATTTTGATGATGATGGCTTACAGCTGCTGAAAACCCAAAATTCAGTATCTCAGAAAATTAGAATATTGTGAAAAAGTTTAATACTGTAGTCTCAAGGTGTTATACTCTAATCAGCTAATTAACTCAAATCACCTGTAAAGGTTTCCTGAGTCTTTAAATGGTCTCTCAGTCTGGTTCAGTAGGTTACACAATCATGGGGAAGACTGCTGACTTGACAGTCACTGACACACTCCACAAGGAGGGCAAGTCATAAAAGGTCATTGCTAAAGAGGCTGGCTGTTCACAGAGTGCTGTATCCAAGCATATTAATGGAATGCTGAGTGGAAGGAAAAATGTGGTAGAAAAAAGGTGCACAAGTAACAGGGATAACTGCAGCCTTGAGAGGATTGTGAAGCAAAGACCATTCAAGAATTTTGGGGAGATTCACAAGGAGTGGACTACGGCTGGTGTCAGTGCTTCAAGAGCCAACAGACACAGACGTATCCAGGACATGGACTACAACTTTCGCATTCCATGTGTCAAGCCACTCCTGAACCAGGGACAACAACAGAAACGTCTTACATGGACTAAGGAGAAAAGTGACTGGACTGTTGCTAAGTGGTCCAAAGTCCTTTTCAGATGAAAGTAAATTTTCAATTTAATTTGGAAATCAAGGTCCCAGAGTCTGGAGGAAGAGTTAAGAGGCACAGAATCCAAGTTTCATGAGGTCCAGTGTGAAGTTTCCACGGTTAGCAATGATTTGGATAGCCATGTTATCTGCTGGTGTTGGTCCACTGTGTTTTATCAAGTCCAAAGTCAGCGCAGCCCTCTACTAGGAAATTCTAGAGCACTTCATGCTTGCTTTCTTCCTTCTGTTGACCAGCCTTATGGAGATACTGATTTCATTTTCCAGCAGTACTTGGCACCTGTCCACACTGCCAAAAGTACCAATACCTAGTTTAATGATCATGGTATCATTGTGCCAGCAAACTCGCCTGACCTAAACACCATAGAGAATCTGTGGGGTATTGTCAAGAGGAAGATGAGACACCAGACCCAACAATGCAGACAAGCTGAAGGCCGCTATCAAAGCAACCTGGGCTTCCATAACACTTCAGCACTGCCACAGGCTGATCACCTCTATGACATGCTGCATTGATGCAGTAATTTATGCAAAATGAGCCCTAACCAAGTACTGAGTCTATACTATAATGTACATGGACATACTTTTCCGTAAACAAACTTTTCTGTATTAAAAATCTTTTTTTTTTTTTTTTATTGGTCTTATGTAATATTCTAAATTTTCTGAGATACTGAATTTTGGGTTTTCACAAGCTGTAAGCTATTATCATCAAAATTAAAAGAAAAATGCTGGAAATAGATCACTCGGTGTGTAATGAATCTATATAATATACGAGTTTCACTTTTTGAATTGGATCACTGAAATAAAATTAACTTTTTGATGATATTCTAATTTAATGAGATGCACGTGTACTTCCTGTCCAAGAATAACAACATCACTCCTCCATAACTGCAGCAAGAGAAGGTAGCACGGTCACCACAGGAAAAGAATGGCGGTACTAGCAGGATCAAACAATGAAAATAAAGGGGGAAAAGCCTTAAGAAAACTAATACAGCCAACAACGATATATTACATTTTTTATTTTTGTATTTAAATGCTCTTTGATGCTTGACTAGCAATGCTTTAACTGGGAAGTACTAATAGATTATCTACTAGCAGAAAGTGCCAATTTATGCACAACCTGGATATTTTCACAATCTTAATAAGTGGTATCCATGTTTGAAAAAGAAAAAAAAAAAAAAAAAAAATCACATGACTTTTGGCAAATAATCATATTCTAACCTGTGTTTTGAACCCTCCAAGTTTTGGTAAACTGTGTTTCTGGAGGAACAGACTCGCCTTCACCAATAGTTACATCTTCTACAAAAGACATGCAAGGGATATTGACATTTGGACTCTCAAAGTCATAATATGCCCCGATTGCTGCCTGTAAATTCCTAAAAGATACAAAAAAAAACATACATCATTATTTTTCGAAAAGAAAATGCAGTTATTAAATCATAATGAACAAAAAAATTAAACAATTGTGTACAAGTAAGGACGTGAAAAAAAAATAGCTTGATACACTGGCGAGTAATGGTTAAAGAGCACAACAGGAATATCAGAACAATGAAATACTGTTCACAGCAAACAAACAACCCAATGCAAAACTCCATATAGTTCCAACACCTTAATTGCCGCTGGAGGTGTTACCAGAGTTACTCGAGTCGCCCAAGAACAAATTTCAGGGCATTGCCCACAAGGTAGAGGAAAAGAAAAGTACACAAAATTCTCTTCAAATATGCCTGGGTTTCTCTGCTACATTAAAAACTCACACTCGTTTTAATTAAAACTGCTTGCTTTTGTCTTATAAGAGATCAGGTTGCATATTGTGATTATAAAAAGGAATAAGCTTGACAGTGGCATGGAAAAAATCTGACATCTACAGCTCTCCTATTTTTATCGTCTTCCCTCATTTTCTCAATTGCCTTTCAGTTCAACCACAAAGTTAAGAAGCTGAACTCTAGGTATGATTAGGCAAGTAGGATTTTTTTTTCTTTTAACCATAGACACAATCTAATGTACAGTGCCTTGAAAAAAGTATTCATACCCCATACTCCACATTGTGTCATGTTACAACCAAAAACATAAATGTATTTTATTGGGATTTTATGTGATAGACCAAACACAAAAGTGTGAAGTGGAAGAACATGATAATTGGTTTTAAAAATTTTTTGTACAAATAAATATCTGAAAAGTGTGGCGTGCATTTGTATTCAGCCCCCGAGTCAATACTTTGTAGAACCACCTTTCCTTGCAATTAAAGCTGCAAGTCTGTTTGGGTATGTCTCTACCAGCTTTGCACATCTAGTGAGTAACATTTTTGCACAATAGCTCAAGCTGTATCAGATCTGATGGAGAGCGTCCATTAACAGCAATTTTCAAGTCTTGCCACAGATTCTCAATTGCATTTAGGTCTGGAACTTTGACTGGGCCATTCTAACACATGAATATGCTTTGATCTAAACCACTCCATTGTAGTATGTTTAGGGTCGTTGTCCTGCTGGAAGGTGAATCTCCGCCCCAGTCTCAAATCTTTTTCAGACCCTAACAGGATTTCTTCTAAGATTGCCCTGTATTTGGCTCCAATCATCTTCCCATCAACTCTGACCAGATTCCCTGTACCTGCTGAAGAAAAGCATCCCCACAACATGATGCTGCCACCACGTTTCACTGTAGGGATGGTGTGTTCAGGGTGATGTGCAGTGTTATTTTCCTGCCACACACAGCGTTTTGCTTTTAGGCCAAAAAGTTCAATTCTGGTCTCATCTGACCAGAGCACCTTCTTCCACATGTTTGCTTTGTCCCCCATGTGGTTTCTTGCAAACTGAACTTCTTTTTGCCATTCTTCCATAAAAGCCAAATTTATGGAGTGCACAACTAATGGTTGTCCTGTGGACAGATTCTCCTACCTGAGCAGTGGAGCTCTGCAGCTCCTTCAGAGTTACCATGGGCCTCTTGGCTGCTTCTCTAACTAATGCTCTCCTTGCGCAGCCTGTCAGTGTAGGTGGACAGCCATGTCTGGGTAGGTTTGCAGTTGTGTGCCATACTCTTTCCATTTTCAGATGATGGATCCAACAGTGCTCCATGAGATGTTCAAAGCTTGGGATATTTAGAACCTAACCCTGCTTTAAACGTCTCCACAACTTTATTCCTGACCTGTCTGGTGTGTTCCTTGGCTCTCATGATGCTGTTTGTTCACGGATGTTCTCTAACAAAGCTCTGAGGGCTTCAAAGAACAGCTGTATTTATACTGAGATTAAACACAGGTGGACTCTATTTACTAATTGGGTGACATCTGAAGGCAATTGGTTCAACTAGATTTTAGTTAGGGGTATCAGAGTAAAGGGGGCTGAATACAAATGCATGCCTCATTTTTCAGATATTTGTAAAAAAAATTTGAAAAACCATTTATTTTACTTCCACTCCACCATTATGTGCCACTTTCTGTTGGCCTATCACATAAGATCCCAATAAAATACATTTGCATTTTTGGTTGTAACATGACAAAATGTGGAAATTTCCAAGGGTATGAGTACTTTAAGGCACTGTAAATATGCATGTCCCCTATCTAAGCAATCACTGTGGAAGCTACTAATTACTGTAGTAGATGGTGCTACTGCAGAACTTCATTACATAACAGGACTAATTATATGGACATATACAACATACAGAAAGAGAAAACCAGTGTGGATGCACATCTGTGTCAGATATCTGTGCAGTATGAAAACTGTACAGACTGCAAGTTTAAAACATAATTGGAGTGGAGAAGCTTATTAAAAAGGACAAAAGTTAAACCGAGATGGTGATACTTGTTGAAATTGTGGTAACAGATACAATACAGCACAAATAATTTATAAAAGTCATAAGTAGTCAAAATAAAGTATGAGCTAAAGTATATTGTTGAAAATTTATATTCTGTATTTATTTGCCTGTTTGAATAGGATAGTACCATATGAGACATTTTTGTATGTTTCAAAGGTCGTTTTCTCAAATGTCACAGGCATGGCACTCAATTACATATTTAAATGAAAAAATATTAGTTAGCGCTGTTCCTTCTATATAGTGAAATAAATGTGCTATGTGATAAGTATTTATGACATGAAGTGCACTCTGTGCTATACAACACCTCCCTATCTATTCCTGTGAAGGTAAATACATGGAGGAGGAAAATGCCTAGGCAAATCCTATCAACCCTCCACCTGCTCAAAAAGCCAAGTGGGACACACTGAATATGCAAACCATGCAAAAAAAAGAAAATGGAAAAAATGGATCTACAAACCACCTCCCTCTTTAAGAAAGAAAAAAAAAATCCAAGACTGTGGATATTATGTGAAGTGAATATGCGAGTGGTACCTGAGGTTGGTTACTGTAATACACCTCCCCCATGTACCACCATTCATATACGTTAGATTGTAACAAATAGTGCACATACTTATATGATGAAAAGCAAATGGAATACTGCAAATCACCTACCCCCTATGAAAAAATTCCAAATTAGCACAGTAAACATGAAACTATAATACACCTCCCTTGTGTACCAACATACATGCATAAATAGTGCATAATACTCTATATACAACAAAAGAATACTGCAAAACACCTCCCCCCCATGAATTACATGAAAAAAATGTGACATAAATCTCAATGGACGAAAGTGTCCATATATATATATATGCTCCAATGTGCTGTAGGTGATTATGAAAAACGTGTGCTCCACACATGCTCCCCTTTTGACACTACACTCACTGCAAAGCTGGACCCTTGTTCCCAGTGGGTCTAACATGTTTGTTGTAGCTCTCCAGATCACTGCGCATGGACTGTGCGTGGCTTCTCAATTCCAAACATAGTGGTATGCCATAGACCGGACCATAAGTGAAAGAAACCCAGGGAATGCCATAAACAAAGGAGGAAGGCTTCTATAGTGTAAAACCTTTATTAAAAAAAATATTTGAAGTGCTGAAAACACTTACATTTGAAGAAATAAAATGAGCACTAAAACTGAAAGGCTTGCGTTCCACATCCAAACCTGGAATCTGGAAGTGACGCAAGTTATCCCCGTCCAACGCATTTCATCATCGTGATGTCATCAGGAGCTTCAAAATTAAAAAAAAAGTTTTATACTATAGAAGCTGTCTGCCTTTCTTTATGGTCCAGTATTTGGAAGATCAAATCATTCCCTGGGTTTCTTTCACTTATTGTCCGGTCTATGGCATACCACTATGTTTGGAATTGAGGGGCCACGCACAGTCCATGCACAGTGATCTGGAGAGCTACAAGCGTGTTAGACCCACTGGAAACAGGGCCCTAAAGCACCCCCCCCCCATATTGAGGGCACGTGGCCTGGTATAGTTCAGGAGGGGAGGGGGTGCTCGCTCACCCCCCCCCCCCTTTCCTGACCTGCCAGGCTGCATGCTCGGATAAGGGTCTGGTATGAATTTTGTGGGGGACCCCCCACACCATTTTTATTTTACCTTTGGCATGGGAGTTCCCCTCAAAATCCATACCAGACCCGAAGGGCTTGGTATGGAAGGGAGAGGGGACCCCACACTGTTATTTAAATTATTTTTTTTAGTTGCCGGCAATTCTTTTACATTCAGCGGTCAGTGGGAAACCCTGCTGACAGCTGAAACATTAACACATGGTTATCACTACTAAAATACCGCATGACTTGATAAAATAACGCATGTTGTATTTTAGTAACGTTTACTTTTTTACTTTGAATTTTGGTTGGTTCAAACTGCCTATGCCTGGCTGAAGTGTAATGAACATGAACTCATGTTTTTAAATATTTAGATTAGATACAAATACCAGTTTGCCAAATAAAAATAGTAAAAAAAAAAAAAAAAAAAAAAAAAAAAAAAAAAAAAAAAAAAAAAAAAATACAGAAGGCCACAAAAAACAAAATTAGATAAATAATCAAAGAAAAAAAAAACCCAAAACACATTTGTTATTTATCCCATGATACAGTCAATATTTTAGTAATATAGAAAAAAAAACAATGAGGGGAATTCTGCACTGGACAGGAAGTTGAAAGTATACAATCAACCAGTGTGGAAATCTTCACTAGAAGGAGATTGTTCTGCGAATGAACGCTCACTAGAATGTTTTTCTAGCTTCACAATATTTGTGTGAGCAATAATTTACAGAACTATTATCCTCTGGTACAGTGTTAGGGTGATTTCAAACTTGCATGGTGCAGGTGCACCCCAGTCTACCTGTGGTTTTTGTGTGCTGTTTTCTTAGGACTTTTGGTGAGCTTTTAAAAAAAAAAAAAAAAAAAGCGCACCAAAAGAGCCTGATCTAATTGAAGACTGTTTGAAAGCATGGTTAACTTGCATGAAAACTGTACACTACGCTGTTGCCAAACCACAACATGGCAATGTGAAAGCACTCT